TAGCAGTTCTTTCTTATCTGCAGTTAATGAGGAAATCTTAACAGGCTGCCCAGGCAAGTGGTTGAGTCACCATCCTTGGAGGTATTTAAAAGATGTGTAGAAGTGGTGTTTCAGAGACATGGTTTAGTGGTGAGCTTGGCAGCGCTTGGTTAACAGTTGGACTTTATGATCTTAAGGGTCTTTTCCAACGTAAACAACTCTATAATTCTAAGATTAAATTCTGTCTGAAGGGAACCATTCACTATTGAGCTCTGGGGTGGGGTTTTTCCCTTTCTTTTCCTCAGGAGTGGGGAGAAGTTTGATCTGACTTTGGAAAATCTTGTAAAAATGTAAATGAAAAAACGTTTCATGTTTGATGGGGGGGTTGATACTACCTTCTAAAGTAGTACAGGAGAAATATATTGCTCCTTAGAAACTTGAAACTTTTCTGTATAATTTTCAAAGGTCAAATTGCTTTAATTCTGTTTTGGGCCTTGTTTGTGTTGTATTTCAGCCAGCATTTTTTGTTGCACAGTAGTGAATTTTTTTTCCTTTCCCCCCTGTTTTTGCTGAGTGTAAACAGTTCCTTGCTGTGGTTACACAGACAAATATAGCAGAGAACCCTTTTCTGGGAGAAGAGTCTCCGTGAGCATTTCTTAACCATTTTTGGGAAGAATTGATCTATCTGTGCATGCGTGAGAGGGAGGCAGTAGCTGTAAATTGAAGTGACATCATATATGTTACTCCCATTGATCCGCTTTTAGACTAGAGCCAGGATAAAAGGAAATGGCATCAGGGAGGAAGTATGCTCGTTTAGGCAGAGATCCCAGTGTGATAATGGAGTAATAATAGAAATCACGCCACTGTCAATCGGTTGCTGCATTAGTCTGAGGCAGATTTCCCCTTGGAGGAGGCTTTCAATGACTTCATTCAAGTGCAGGCAGGAGCGAATGGGATATGCAGCATACCAGCTGTACAACTTTTGTGATTTGTGTCCTGGCTTAAGGGTGCGGTGCAAGTGCTGGTGCTGTGGATACTGAAATAGATATATCTGTGTCACATTTCATGGCTGTGAAAGGTCAGTAGTCAAATGTTTCAGTGGCATTTTTTTTCTAGTATAAGGGGTGAATCTGGCATTTACTGCATTTGTTAATGTAGGAATTGATAAATACGGTCCTTCGTGTGGGTGGTCTTCTGGGGTGTGGGGTTGATAACTTCTGTAGCTGCCATACCAGATTTTTGAAGAGGCAAGATTTGTTTTCTTTATGCTTTTTACAGGTTAGGGTTAGGAGTCAGAAAACTCATGGGTTTGTTCCAAGATTATTTGTAGAAACCCTTTCAATCCTACTTATGTCTTGAAAAGGTCTTGTAACAAATTAGTGTACACTGAATCTCAGTACCAGTAAGCTGCTTTGATAGTAGTCTGAGTTATATTTTCGATGTTGCTACATTTTCTTTAATTCTTTCATCTTGGCTTTTTCAATTACAGACCTAGTTTTGATGCTTGCAAATCAATTGCACTTTGGTTTAGTGTTAACAGCTTCATCATTCAAACTTTTAAACCACCACATCGGGTAACACAGGGGAAGCAGGGGACAAATGGCTGTTTAGTGGCAGGACAAAGCAAACTCCTAGAAAAGGCTGAAGAGTTGCAAAAGTTTTACGTTCTTAAGAGCAGGATAATGTGTATACACTGCAGGGATACATAGTTATAGTGGGGGATGATGTTTAATTATTTGGGAGGTGACAGAAAACCTCTGGTGTACTTGATGGCAACAGTATTTATTTGTACTGTCAGTACTTGCAACTGGGGAAGGGGAACCCTGGGAAAAGGAGTATGATTTCCATGGGGCAGGCATAGTTTGGGGCAGGAGCTGTTTAGTTTGCCGTATATATAGGTGCTGTTGCAGCAATCATTGCTGTAATGAAAACTACTTGATACTTGCCACATTTCCTGATTGAAGTGAGCTACTTTAATAATTGCATATATTTGAACATTTTGAGCATGCTCCAGTACAGTTCAGATTATATATATATACACACATGTATCTGTAAAATATTTTATTTTATAAACAGGAACACTGAAATTTTGTGTTTGGGGTATTATGGTTGTTTTCCTAAACATTTTCAACATAGAGATTCACATTGACACAGTGAAACTTATTCTGCTGTATTTTGCTATAGCTGCATTGTGTGGGTTTTTTATACTGTATGTTAGATGTTCAGTATGCATTCAGAATATGACCTGTTGTAAAGAAAACAGGCTTCACAATACTTGAAAATAAGTTTACTCTTTGTTTTCTATAGCGTTTATATATTGGTAGCACTTAAAAGCAAGGGTGCCCTTGTATTAAGCATAAGGGAAACAAGTGAGAAATTGACAGCGTGCAACCCAGACAATCGTCATGGTGTGAAAGATGAGAAGTAGCAGGTGGATGGGACAAGTAAGAATGGCAGTGGTGAAAATAAAAAATAATGGAGCGTGGGTTTTTTGACAGAGAATTTGAGTTCAATTTTGTGGAGCTCATTTATAGCAGTTAAAAAGCTGCTTTGCTGGTAATGTTATTCATATGACTGTGTTCAGGGAAAAGACTTGCAACCCCCCTGCAGGAATTCAGTAGCAGTCTCTGTCATGAAACTTCAGCCGAGCTTTATGTCTCTTTGCTTAGGATAGGTTTTTCTCTTAGGCGGTGTCTCTTTTGTTAGTACAGGGTAAGATACGAAAGAGAATGTAGCAAGAGTACAAAATGTAATAGCTGCGCCCACTAGTGCCACTTTGGTTACAGGTCTGTCAGCGTTTCTTTTGCTAGTATCTCCCGTACTCCTTCCACCCCCCCCGCCGCTTGCTAGCGCTTACCTTGCATTTTAATTAAGTCCTGAGCTGGAAACTGGTATGTAAAATCTCATCTTAGGCAGCTGGAACGTGGGAAAAAAGCAGAAGGCATGGTCTCAGATGTTTTTTTAATCTGTATTCTCAAATCTAAACTGGTGAGAGTTTAACCTGTAATTCTGAAAACTCTTCACCCATAATGCACACGAGGCAGAGGTAAATTAAGGACATAGCTGTCGCTCAGCTGCTGTGCTTTTGTTGGCTTCAGTAAGATTCTGTAATGTTATCTTAAAGAACAGCTTTCTGTGGATGAATATGTATAGCAATTATACTGGAGATATAAAGTAATAACTTTCAGCTGTTCTGTACCTATGTATTAAAGCAGCTGTTCTATAGTTTCTACAAATCAAGTATTGCTCTGCTCTCTTTGTTGGCAGGGAAAGCTTTCCAAAAGAGAAGTTACCTTTCTGTGCATGCTGTTCTGCAACATTTCAGATTTTATTAGTGCTCAGAATGAATTCAGTTACTCAACAGAGCCACTTCCCAGAAGCCTTCCCTGTTTTATGTTTTAGTGAGTCTCACCATGTCCAGGCAACTGCTGTTGGACTGCATTTTAGCAGTTGTTCTGAAATTGAAATACTCACTATTTTGAAGTATATGACTATTTTTAACAACTTAGTTTTGTTGGCAGGCTTCAGTATCACTTAGAAAAAGTTCCAGTAAGACCTAGTAAGATGTGAACTTTTCTCAGTCTCCAAGAATACAACTTTAATGATAAAAAATAGAAGGATATCAAAATGCAAGGAAACCAAAGCATTACAATCCTAGAGATTTCTTTCCCTCTTTATTCTGTTTAGGTACTAATGCTAAGTTATGTCAGACTGAAAGGGAAAAAAAAAGTCATGTTGCTCAATTGTTAATGGCAATATTTTACAGATTTAGACTTATCAGAAGATACTAGATATTTTCGTGGACATGCTGTCAGCGATCAGGATCCTGACTTGTTCAGTATATACCTCACAGCCAGGGCTGTTTGTTGGAAGAGGCATTTTGTTTAGCTGAATTAATTTTGTATCTGAATTCATTTTAATGCATTGACGCAGCAGAGGGGGATGTAGACAGCAAGGCGGGAGCAGAGAATCTCCAAATGTGATAAAAGCTAGAATTAGTGTTGAAGTAACAGGATATCTTTTTCCATTAATCTGTCTGGAGAACATTAGAAGTGAGCAGTGCTAGTTTCTTTTTGTATGCAAAAGCTTACATTCACATTCTTCCTCCCTTCCCCCTTCTGTTTTTGGTGCCCTGCAATGGTGAATAGTGGGGAAAGCTTTGGGGCATATAAGAAACTTCTGACTGATCACCCTGAACCCTGAATTTCCAATAGATGTTTCCTGGCAACTGGTGTAGTTTCTGTCTGAGCTCTGTTTGAATTATTTATTTATTCATCCTATAAGCCTATTAAACAGAGCACTTAAGCACTTCAGATTTCTTGTGCTTTTTAGGTTACAGTAGGTTCAACTTGAGAATTAGAGGTTCTGAAGTCAGGTGACTACTAAATACGTATACATGTATAGATAGATATATACTGTGTGTGCCACAGACATAACATTCTAACATGTCTTTACCATACAGTGACGGATGGCTTGTGACTCACTGCACTAAAATATGCCTCAAAATGTGTTGCTACAACACTTATTTTCCGTGTCACTTATTTGTGTTGCGTTTCTTTGTTCATTGTGAGAATATCATGTAAGTGCTTGTATAACAGATAAAAATGACACACTTTAAAAAATATACATTCATATGCCTGATTGATTCCTGAAACTATGCACTGTAAATTATTCTGGTATTTTATTCTTTCCAAGCCCAAACAACATAGAATTACTTAGCATATGTATTCCATGAAAATCTTACTTAATAAGCTATGATTATGTTTCAATAAGATAAGCATGTTTTAGATCTGATCTAACTGTAGTAATGAAAACCACGTAAAATGAATCTTAATTGAGCCCCAGCACAGGAGTCTTTCAGAACATAGACACATAAACCCTGAGGTTTTTCAGAAACAATTAGAAGCTTCTGTATTTCAGGCACATAGGTTATCATAATCTTATCCTCTTGGTTTGTTTCCATTTAATTACCCAGTCAGTAGAGATCTTTATTCACGTTTTGGCATTTATTTTCCTCTTAGCTTCTCCCTGACCAGCTGGTCTTACTTCTGGAGTCTCTCTTGGAGGTGAAGACGTTGTGTCCTAGAATACTGCAGTGCTTAGAGAAAACGTACCATCTCCGGGAGCAAGATGCTGAGGTAATCACTTAAAAAAAAATCTCCCCAGCATACACCATTGCATTGTTGACTAGGAGTAATAGTGTCCCAATAGGATTAGGATCCAGGCTCATTCAGATGGATTGTTTCTGTTTTTTTCTGTGTCTGAGTCTGAAATCAGATGTTCTTAACTCCAGTATTGTTGCATCTTCAGATGCCTTAATTACTCAGTGTTTCTATGTGGTTTATATGGGACCAGGTGTGTTTATATACTGTGGTAGTAAGGAGACAGTGCAGCCTAGATGCCATAATGATTTACATGTACCTTGGGCAGCATGTTTGCTCAAGTCTTAAATTTCTCTTTGTGACATGGTGAGTGTGTGTTAGAGCACATTTCATTTTAGTTGTGTTTATTGACTCCAAATGCAACTGTGTCTGTTATGGTCTAAAATTGTTCTTTCCTGTGGTCAGCCTGTATTGTTCCTGTTGACTGCTCCAAAGTCTCAGGATTTAGAAGTTTGCTTTCCAGAGGGACCACAGTATATTCTGGTTTTGGACATGAGTTTAAGGGGGAGTCAGTTCCTTACAGTTGCTCCTAGTAAGCGCCAAGGGATGGTAACAGTCCCTGAGGAAAACAGTGGTTTATATGATACCGTGAATGTGAATTCCCTATCACAGGCACATATGAGCATCTCTGCTGCAAAGAGCTTAATGTCTTTGAGGAGCAAACCAGTAAAGCCATATTACAGCACACAGAGCTGACTGTTTCATAGAGTCCCATGAATTTCTCAAGATGGGTGTTGTGACAGCAGAAGTTGTGGCTGAAAGCACGCTTGCAATGAATCTGCTTTGGGTACGTAGCATTCAGAAGGGGAGGTAAGAAGATGGAATCAGTCATGAAAATAAGGGATGTGTAGATTTATATATAAGCAAGGGTTAGTTAGGAAGTAGCATATGATCAAACTAATGTGCAGCAAGGGAACATAGTAAAGTTAACGTGACATTTAACTCTAGTTTAATTAAAAACTACTGTGAAGGCTGTGGACAGTCAGTGTGCATGACTTACCCTGTTACAACTGAAACTTTATGGTAATAACTAAAATCGAAGGAGAGAGGAAAATTTCTCGTTACTCTCATGGTGAAGTTGCTGGGTGGACACTTACACAAAGTTGGGAATCCAGACATTAACGTAAAGATCAATAGAACAGAGGTCTAGCTTTTTTCTCAGAAAAAAAATAGACAATATTTTGGGTGTTGCCATTTAGTGCACCTTTTTACTTTTTTGTTGATAGAGGTTTCCAAATGCCAGATTTCTTCTTAATTGGTACTTGAACCAACATTTCTATTTATAGGTATTAGAATATATTTTAATCACATCTGAATACCAGTGAAATGTCAGGGGTTCTATAATGGGAAGAGAAATTAATAGGGAGATAGATCAAAGCAATAGCTGTGGTGTTACAGCTTCATGCCTGTGAATTGTAAGCACCAGTCCACAAGCTTTGGTGTCTCAGGTATGTCCTTTCTCTTCACTCGCAGGCCTTATTTCTTCCTTGTGGTGTCATTTTAAAGTGCACACGTGATCTGTCAGAATTTTTTCTTTACAAAACCAAACCAACCAACCAAAAACAAAAACAAAAAAAACAAGCACAAAATTGCGGCCTCAGTGAAAGCAGCATAATCTCCATTTTATTTTACAAAGTGAAAGCAAGGGCTTAGCAGACATTTAAAAGTACAACTAAGGTAACATTACCATTAGCATTTTACCAGATGCCGGACCAGTCACCAGATGCCAGACACCTACAGTTCTTTAAAGGGAACATTAGTTCACAAGCCCTCATGTACCTGAGGGAAGGACAAGGGATTTTTCTTGTGACCCAGGGACAAAGAACCACAGTCCAAGCCTACAGCTGAGCTGTTCTTGTTTAGGTTTAATTTACGAAGACATTAATCACAGTGATCCTGTTGTGTTACTGAAGTTCAGATGCTCTCAGTAAACATCAGAAATGGATTGTTAAAAATACAAGCATAAAAATTTGCAGGCGTGCCAATGAAAGAAAAGAAAATTGTGAATGTCAGAGGTTTTATTCAGCAATTTTTCTAAGTGAGGATGTCAGCTGTGTTCTATCCAGCGTGGAAAGTTAGGAAATTGTTTAATTGTTAGGATTTGTTTTTTTTTTTTATTTTTGACTAGTAGCATTTAAATTCATGTTAATCTTCTGGTTTAGGGATTAGCCAGTAGTATATGCTCAATAGTATGTGAGAGTTGTATATGAAGAAGTATGTTTTTCTGTATTTTAAACAAAATTTGATTTTAAAAAATGTACATTAGATCTTGTCTGCTCACTCAGGGTTTGGAAGACTTTCCCTGTATGTATTGTAGGTAGCTAAAAGGCTTCTTACAGTATCAGGGGGAATATGAATAATAGTGTGTGTATGTGCTGCTGAGCACTTTTGCAAGAGTAAGAATGTTCCACACTTTGTGGTGGAACGAGGATTGGATAGTCTCACCTTCTGAGATCAGTGTGCTAGGAGGAGTAAAAAGGACAGATGCCTGGTGGATTTTACTGATGAAAGCACTACAGAACCACCTTCCTGCCTCTGCCAGTTTTAAAGGACCTGAATGTTCTGTATGTGCACTTGAGTTCTGTAGCATGCTCCCATTGGAGCACCACATTGAAGCATGGAAACTGCTGGGGAAAAGGTGCCCAAGGCTGCTTGAGTTTGGTTGATTGTAAAGTTTGTCCTACACAAGTACAGCATGGGTAGTCCTGGTTCATGTTTCATAAAGCTTTTATATCTGTACTTCTGAAGCATCTTTATTTCAACTTGTAAAATGTCATGCACCTGGCAGTGCCTGCACTAGCCCACGGCAATGTGCAGGTCTGTCTTCAGTCAGGAGGGGTTGCCAGCAGCACTGTTTGGTACTCCTGACCACTGGTTATCACATCCATGTCCAGTCTTACAAACATAAGGGCACATCGTACTTCAGAAAGGAGGTGAAGGTTTACAGCAGGTTAACTGCCTTGTTTTGACTTCTTTGTTGCAGCCAGGAGAGGAGAGAGGCGTGAGCCAGCCTTTGCCTGGAATTTAACTCTTGACCTCTCTCTTCAAGGAGTGCTCAAGCTGTGTCCTTTCTGGGATCACCTCAGCAAGTCAGTTCCTGTCCTCTCCAATGAGGTCTCACCACAGATAGTTAGCTTCTGAGGAAGGTAGGAAGGGAATAGTAGCCTCTCCCTTCTAAGACAAACACTGATGTTGAATGCTTCAGCTAAAAGAAACCTCAGAGGTTAGGTAGCATATTTCTGATTCATAATGCATAATACATCTCTGGCAACAACCTTTTAGCCGAGCGAGCCAGAAGTGAGATACAGATAGCTGAATCACATTTCAAACTTATCTACCCCAGTCTTGGATGCTACAAGAGGCTTATAGGACAACTGCCTAATTGCAGAATTTGTAACTCCCTCTTTTTTTTTTTTTTCAGTCCACTTCTATAACAAATCATAGAATCATAGAACAGTTAGGGTTGGAAAGGACCATCTAGTTCCAACACCCCAGCCACGGGCAAGAACACCTCACACTAAACCATCTCACCCAAGGCTCTGTCCAGCCCTGCCTTGAACACCACCAGGGATGGAGCATTCACAGCTTCCTTGGGCAACCCATTCCAGTGCCTCACCACCCTAACAGTAAAGAACTTCTTCCTTATATCCAGTCTAAACTTCCCCTGTTTAAGTTTTAACCCGTTACCCCTTGTCCTATCATTACAGTCCCTAATGAAGAGTCCCTCCCCAGTATCCCTGTAGGCCCCCTTCAGATACTGGAAGGCTGCTATGAGGTCTCCATGCAGCCTTCTCTTCTCCAGGCTGAACAGCCCCAAGTTTCTCAGCCTGTCTTCATACAGGAGGTGCTCCAGTCCCCTGATCATCCTCGTGGCCCTTCTCTGGACTTGTTCCAACAGTTCCATGTCCTTTTTATGTTGAGGACACCAGAACTGTACAGAATACTCCAAGTGAGGTCTCACAAGAGCAGAGTAGAGGGGCAGGATCACCTCCTTCAACCTGTTGGTCATGCTCCTTAAAATCATGATTTAATTATCCGTTTTCTGTTTCTTTGGAACATATGAGAAGGTACAAAGTTACCACTTTGTTTTCCAGAGATGAAATTCACGTATGTGAATTATTTGAAAGGAGCATGTCCAAAATATCTTTAAAAAACATTTTGAGAGCAGTGCAGGTTTCAAAAGTTTAAAGCCATTTTTTTATCACTTCTTGGTGCCTTGAACCCACTGTGGCTGAGACCTTGTCAGACAAGTGCATGTAGGAATGATTGTGTCCTCAGTTTTCTCTTCCTGTTCCCCCCCCCCTTTTTTTTTCTGTGCTGCTTCCTGCTACATAATAAGATAGCTCACAGACAGGCTACATATCCATGATGTACTGCATCGTGTGTCCAAGAGAAGCCAAGCTGGCTGCAGTTTGAAGATGACAAAGTCCAGCTGGAAGTCCAGCTGACTGAGGAGAACTGGGATATGTTATAATGCAGCTACAGTTGCCATCAGACAGTGCACTAGGATAATAGAATTGAAGGTGTTCTGGGTTGTTTTTGTTTCCTATCTTTCTCAGGTGGCTATTTTGTGCAGATACTTGATTTATTCAGTATCTAGGATTTGGCAGAACATGGAGAGTTGGTCTGTGTGGAAAGTTTCTAGTTGCTGGTATTTTTGGCCTAACTGGTCACACCTCTTTTGATATGATTGTGCAACATTATCTTGTTTGATAGGCTGTTGAAGATGTTCATGTAAAAAAATTGGGTTAGTTACAAGTATCTAAAGGTGTCGTGGTTTAAACCCAGTCAGGTAACTCATTCACTCACTCCCCCCCTTCTTTCCCTCCCCCTACTCTCGGAGGGACGGAGAGGATAATCGAAAAGAATGCAACTCCCACGGGTTGAGATAAGAACAGTTTAGTAACTAAGGTATAACACAGATCACTACTGCTACCACCAATGATAATAATGATAAAGGAAATAACAAGGGAAGA